GCTTAAGTCCTCAGTTATTAATAAGTAAATCTGTTGACATAAGAAGGACTTTTCATTAAAAGTTAAAACTGAGTGGTATAAGTTACATACTAGTTAATTGCCCAGATCCTTCTATGGGAACAGGGACTTTCTTTGTCTTGTTCAGCACTGTATCTCATCACCTAGGGCATAAGTGAAATAAATAGTATTACAATATATAAACAAACAAATAAACTAATAGGTAAGTAAGTAAGCCAGTTGCACCAGGAAAACCTTTATATTAAGAACTGGATTATTGTCCTGGCCTGTTTTACTCAGTGGTTAGAGCATCAGCCTGTGGACCAGAGGGTCCTGGGTTCGGTTCCTACTAAGGGCACGTACATCAGTTGCGGTTTGTCCCTGGCCCTGTTTGGAGTCGTGTGGGTGGTGACCACTCGATGTGTCTCTCTCATGTCGATGTTTCTCTCTCTCTCTCGCTCTCTCTCTCGCTCTCTCCCTCCTGCTCGATCTGAAGATAAATGCAAAAAAAAAAAAACAAAACTTGATTCGTTATGTAAATGGAAATGTACCTGAGATTTTCAGGATTCCTTTGATAAGGTTCCTGACCATTCCTGGCAGATAGTAAGCATAAACAAGAATCAGGGGAGCTTTTTAAAATCTCCCCAATGTTCCCCTATGTGCAGAATAGGTGACATTTCTAAAAGAACAAAATGAGTCAGAATCTTTATGTATGTATGTATTTATTTATTTATTTTTGGTACGTGCCCCTAGCGGGAACCGAACCTGGTTCTCTCCGGTCCACAGGCCAATGCTCCAACCATCGAGCCAAACAGGCCAGGGCTGAATCAGAATATTTCAAAGCTCGAAGGAGAAGCTGTTCACACCACGTGGGCCTGGACAGAGGCATCAGTGAAAGTTTTAATTCTGTCAATATCTAAAACATTTATCTAGGACAATATAACAATAGATACTTTCTGGATGCTACTAGGGACAAGAGAGTTCTATCTACAGTGTTCATTCTTTGACTCCAGTCTTTGAAATCTTCTTGTAAACTATGTCTTAAATCAGCCCATAAGCTCTAAGCCTCCCTTTTGTATTAAAATTTTGTTCAAATCCTAAGCCATCACCACTAAATAAGTTCTTGCCTTCTTTGTGTTTCATGCTTTTGACTTTGCCTTTACTAACATCCTTAAACCTGTACTCTATACCCATAGCCCACATGAGCCCAATTCTCTGTGATTTAGGAGGGAAGGAAGGAGGGAAGGAAGGAAGGAGGGAAGGAAGGAAGGAAGGAAGGAAGGAGGGAAGGAAGGAAGGAAGGAAGGAAGGAAGGAAGGAAGGAAGGAAGGAAGGAAGGAAGGAGGGAGGGAGGGAAGCAGGGAGGGAGGAAGAAAGGGGGGAGGAGGAAGGACACAGTCTAGGCATCAAAATTGCATTTCTTTGGGTTAAACAGCACATTCTCCCAGAAATTTTTATTTAAATCCAAATAGCACAAGGAATCTTAAAGATGAAAAAAAAAAGTATCCCTTTATTTGAAAAAATTCATCAGGCATATAGCTTTCCTTTGAGGAAGAAAGGATGTAACTCGGGACTAGATTCCTGGGCATCTAGGGAGTGAGGGATCCCAGACAGCGAAGAAAAGTGCACTGACCCCAAGATGCCGGGACTCCGTCTAGCTGTTCGTATCAAACTCCTTCCCCTGATTTGTGTATGTGCAGAATTTAAATGCACCTGAAACCTTTAGATGATTCGAGCATATCTTTTAAGGCCTAATTTTATCTGAAATACTTTACAGACTTAAAAGTATAATACTTCATTTTATTTGGAGTGAAGGAAGACAGACCTTTAATTGTTGTATTTCTGATAGTAATCTGGAAAAGAGAAACACTGTTTTGTCATATTTGTATTATTTAATCAAGTCTTACTAAAAGCTATGAGTCAAATAATATAAAAACTTTTTTCATATATTTCTTCTCCCCGAATATATAAAACTCCACTTTACTAATGACAACTGATTTATCTTTACTGCACAAAATGTGACTTCTCATAAATGTAACAAATAGTGTACATATCATTTAAAACTAAAATGAGAAAAATGTTTATATGAGCAATAAACATATTTAAATGTAAATGTAAAACACAAAGCTCAGACAATGAGCCTACATGAACACTGTGATATTTAGACATTTGTCAGAGAGCCCTTGTCTGTTTTGACAGCCAAATGAATATATAAAGAGGGGACTCTGGAAGATAGACTTCCTTGTCTGGTTTCCTTTATTCTGAATACAACTGGAAGACGTTTCAATGTGTGGGAAGCCTCTATGTACAGAGAGTTGGAAAACATTCAAGTGTAAAGTACCAAAACAGTCAAATAACGTGCAAATCCAATATGCTTGTCCATAATGATTCATTCTCTATTTAAAACACATTTTCAAAGCTTAGGACAATCCAACCTGTACAGTTAACAAAGGCCTTTCGCTTTTGACCTAACAGATGAGCTTAAAAAGAAGAAATACAGAATATAGATGTTAACAATTTTCAGTTCTCTGAGCTGATTTTTACCCAGTGCTCAGGCATGAGACAGATATTAACTGCAATTATCATATTTTTACATCTTTGGTAGTCTTTATTTATTTTTATTTTTTGTACGTGCCCCTAGCGGGAACCGAATCTGGGACTCTCTGGTCCACAGGCCAGTGCTCCAACCACTGACCCAAAATGGCCAGGGCTAGTCTTTATTCTTTTTGTAAATTCCTGCTTTGTATAAAATCAGCAATGTAAATTTCTGCCTAAAAGAAAGCAATACTTCCCAGAATCTTGGATTTACTTTGATTAATATTCTCAGCATGGGTTCCATTATATCCAGCCTGAAATTATCTTTGAGATCTCTGGATATGACAAATGTGTGTGAATTTTAAGTTTGTGAAAACAAAAATAACAATATTGTTGATGATTCATCATTTATGGAATTTGTTTCCTTTCATGCTCTTCTTTTGAGGAGAGCTTTTTTGAATTATTCTACCCTGAGAGAAGTACATTGAACATCTCTTCTTTCACTTTGGATTACTTCTAGTGACTTAATTGATGGAAAAAATATTTTGAGCAGTGTGAAGTAAGTATCTAGAAGGAAGAAGAAACAGAAGAAAAGGGGAGACTTAAGAAACAGTAGCCCTCCTCAGTATTCATTTTGTTAGCACTGTGCCAGAACACATTCTAACACTCAACACAACTATTAGAGCTCTTATAGAGGGATGAAGAAAAAAAATCATCATGAAATCTGGAACACATTTTTTTATTCGGGAATTTTCCTCAATTCACAAATATAATAGACATAGAAAATATCACATTGAAATTTTCTTTCAGATCTGATCACATAAAGTTAACCCATTAAGAAGTGTGAAAAGATCATAATTTTAAAATAAGTTAAAATCTTTCTGGTCTTAAAAAACCAGTGTGTTCTTAATAAGTTTCTTTTAAAGGCATTTGAGAACTTAGAAAATAAAAACATGTAATCCTCAATATTCTAACCAAGTAAGGTCTTTACATAGCATTATATATCATCTTTTATGACCTATACATTTTAAAATCATTATAAACAAGGATGAAAAAAATTAGTTCTTAAAATATCTGGCAATGCAAATGCTCTCTCAGGATTTGGTATTAAACACAGTCTCTTGCTTCCCATCTAAGTCATAACTTCACTGTTTTTACAAATGCACTTAAAATTTCATTACTTCTTCCCTGGCTGGTTTGGTTTAGTGGTTAGAATGTCGGCCTGCGGACCAGAGAATCCCGGGTTCAGTTCCCACTAAGGGCATGTACCTTGGTTGCAGTTAGTCCCCGCAACCAGTCGATGTGTCTCTCTCACTTCGACGTTTCTCTCTCTCTCTTCCCCCCATCTCCCTCCAGCTCTATCTGAAGATAAATGCAAAATTATCCTCGTGTGAGGATAAAAAATATATATATATCTTAACTTCTTGTCTAATTTAGATGTGTCTTAAAAACAAAAAAACAAAGCCAATCTGAAAATATCCATATAATATAAAGCACTGTAATAAATATATAAGAAAAGGACAAATAGAAAAATGCCCAAAAGATTTAGTAGATACTTTACAAAAGAGGATAGCAAATAAACATATGAAAAGATGGAGGACTTAACTGGTCATTGTGAAAATGCCAATGATAACATTTTGATATTGCTATAAATAAACTCTCCATAGTGTCTAAAATACAAAAGCAGACATTACCAAGTTTCTGCCAAGATGTGTATAAATGCGTACATTAGGGGAAAGTATGTAGTGGTATCTTCTAAAGCTGACAACAATACTCTATAACTCAACAATTATCACTCTAGATTGTACAATTGTTTGAATTTCATTCTATATCTCAAGACATAGAAAATAATATTCATAGCAGCACTATTTGTAATAGACTTTACTGGAAACTGCCAACATGCTATTAACCATAGAACAAGTATATAAATCGTGGCATATTTATACAATGGAAAGTTATACAGCAATGGAAATGAAGCAGCTATAGTATGCAGCAACATAAGTGAATCTCACAAATGTGTATGTAGCTAAAGAAGTCAGACATAAGAGTGCATAGTATGAATCTATTTAAATAAAGCTCAAAAAACCGGTAAACCTGAACTGTGACTTTAGACTCAACATAATGGTCAACCCTGTCAGGGAGAGTGATAGAGAAGGCATAGGAGGTATTTGGGGGAAATGATTATGTTCTGTTTGATATATGAGTACTAGTAACATGAGTCTGTAACACAACAATTTATCAAGTCATACACTTATGATTTGGGAAGAAGGAAAGTTATCTTCAATAAAAATTTTATATTAAAAAGTAATTATTGTAAGTGCTCAGGGAAGGGTTTATGCCTGAGAGGGATCTACTAATGTGCTTAAACTGAATTATGTATTTGAAAATTGATAAAAGGTAAGATCTCTTATCTTGATTTCATTCTCTTTGGACTTAAACTTCTCTCTATTCCCTTTATATCTCTGAAGAGGTTGAGGACATTTTGAAGATCCTTAATGCCCTGAAGATATTAAAAGGAAGTTGAACTGGATATACATTCGGTTTGTATCAAAGGGATAGATGTATTTTGCAGTTACTTCCATGTATAATTACATTATTGATTACTGTCCTTGCATAGGAATGACTTCCAGGAATTCTCAGAGGGCTGACTAGTGGGATAAGATAATGCATCAGGACCAGAGATCCTATGAAGGAAAAAAAAAAGGGTGTCTACAACCCTTAGCACTGGAAATATAAGGCTAGTGGACGAGAAACACAATTTGAATGTACAGACCAAAAATTAGTCTATGGAAAATTCTTCCAATAAATATGTATCCCAAATTATAAGTATTTATTTTGGTTTCTCATCAAAATGAAGTTCTCTCCTGTAAAAAAATATACTTTTCTCTCACATTGATGTTTCTCTCTCTCTCCCTCCTTCCCTTCCACTCTATCTGAAAGTCATTGGCAAAATATCCTCAGGCGAGGATTAAATAAATAAATAAATAAATAAAAGCATAATTTTTATGGAAATCAGACGAAGTAGATTTATCAGTACTCCCGTATCTGTAGGAAACAAACTTAGTGCAGTTCTAAGAACAGTGCAGTCAATAATCAAAACAGATGTTGGTCAATCATGTTAGGGAAAGATTGAATTATTGCTATTTTCTCTATTGAAAATGATATCATAAAATTTTTCAGACAAAATGAATGCAGCCAAAAAAGTAGGGAAAAGTTATTTAACCAATAAAAACATGATTATTGGTTTTTGGATTTTGTGATCATTTGGTATTGTCTGAGCTTTTAAATTTGTAACTTTGTATTTATTCTCTCATTATAATTACTAATGTTGTACTTACTTTTATATTTGCTGTATTGAGCTTTTTCTTAAGGTGGGTACCCCTACATTGTATAGTATTCTGACACCACAAAACTCGAACCCGCTTTAGTAGGTTCCACTGCCCTTTATCTCATCAAATCTTTCCTTTCTTCTCTCTTTCTTATACGGTAGCTTCCCAGACAGTGCCTGCATCTAAAACCAAGTTGACCATATGTATTGAACTGAAGGTTGATTAACCAGTTACTATAGGCAGATAACAGGAGAATGGGGGATAAAAGAGGAAAATAAGCTTCAAATGATCAGTGCTTATAAAAGGCATTTTGAAATACATGCTGGGAAGGGCATGGCCTAGATAGGGTGTCAGACAGTTTGACCTCCACTGGGCAACAAAGCTGCCTTCTCTCAGTCACGGCACCTCGGACAGATAGAGCCCGCCTCTCTGCAGACGGAACCCAGCGGTCTAACCCAGTTGCACAGCTGTTAGAATGAGTACATTCCCAAGCCTCAGTTTTCTCCTGTATAAACAGGGATGACAGTGAAGTTAAATGAGAATTTTTTTTTTTTTTTTTTTTGTGGGGGGAGCTGATTGACTTCAGTTTTATGAGTTCCAGGGAGCAAAATCATTCCAAATGCATTCTCTTTTATTTTCTCTCTATGTGCAAAGGCAGTTGCAAAATGCTTAGTTTAGTGTCTAGACTATTTTAAAAAACACTCACAAGTATGACATTATATATAACATTTTTAGGTGGAATGATTTAAAATAATGTACTTAAAATGTAGGGTAAGAAAAGTGACTTGTAAATGATAAACATTCACATTTTTATAAAATAAAAAAAATTTATAAAATACTGTCTGTGATTTGATAGTATGTAACACAGAAAATTAAATTATATTATTACTGATGAAATGATGATGATGTAATAGAAGCTTTACTCAGAATTATGGGGATCCTTGAAATGTCTCTTTCTACAGAAATCTCTAAGCTTTGCCTGTATCTCTTGCACTTATTTTATCTTTTTAAATGTTTTTAATCCTCACCCGAGGATGTTTTTCCATTTATTTTCAGATAGAGTGGGAGGGAGGGAGGAGTAGAGAGAGAGAGAGAAACACCCATGTGAGAGAGACACATCGATTGGTTGCCTCCTGAATGACTCGGACCAGGGCTGGAGATGAATCGCAGCCAAGGTACATGCCCTTGACCACAATCAAACCCAAGACTCTTTGGTCAGTGGGCTGACGCAAACTGCGGAGCCAAACTAGCCAGGGTTCTCTTGCCTTTATTTTAAATCCAGTTTCAAGTAATGCAATACTAAAACCTGTTTCTCAGTTGTTCCTAATCTTCTCTGACTAATGACATGGGCAAATAAGGAAAAAGTTCCTAAAATAGTCATAAATATTTGTTGACTAAACAGAACAAGATGAGGATTATGGGAAGTATGATGTATTTAGGATTCCAGTGGAATTGAAACAGGCAGTTAAATTTGAAATCCTTGACTGGTCATATACAGAGCCCTTAAAGATGTGATTTGGAGACTACAAATCCAATGACAGTGTGAGGTCAGAACCAGGGGAGGCATCTTCAGTCCCTGCTCTACTGTATTTGATGACCACTCACAATAATTGTCCCATAGTGTCACTTTTATTCCTTTTTATGTGAGGAAAAGTGTAAAACGCTTCACGTTGCTCTCTGTGGCAGGTGTCCAGGATTCTGGTAAAACGCCACTTCCTGGGTTTCTCTCCATGGGGTGACAGCCGTCCACACTCTGTGTACATGCCCCTTGTTTCCAGGTTCTTTCAGAAAAATACAAGACGCATCCTGTTTAAAAAAAAAGTTTTGTTTTTTTTCCAGCTTGAGGTAGTTTTTACACAATATCTAGCAACAGTTACCCCTTCTTGCAGGAACACAAGCAAAATAACCATATTACAGCCCTGGACGGTTAGGTTCAGCAGCAGAGCATGGGCCTGTGGACCAATGAGTCGCAGGTTTGATTCTGGCCAAGGGCACGTACCTCGGTTGCGGTTCATCCCCGGCCCTGATGGGGGTTGAGCGGGAAGTAACTAGTCGGTGTGTCCCTCTCATGTCGATGTTTCTCTCTCTCTCACCCTGTTTCTCCCTCCCACTTTGTCTGAAGATAAATAGAAAAAATTCCTCTGATGAGGATTAAAAAATAATAATAGTCACCATATTACAAGTTGTGTTTTGTTTTATTTACGTTTTTAAGTTAGCGAATGCTTTAGTAATAATAGAGTTTGGGCTCCCAAAGTACTGTGATTTCACATATACAAACACAAGCATATTCACATGTGAAGTATTCCACTAGGCATCTGTACGCGTGTTCTGTTTACTTTTAAAAGTTTCGTTGAAAACACCCTGGCCGCCCTGGCCAGTTTGGCTCAGCGGTTAGAGCGTCGGCCTGCGGTCCTGAGAGGCCCGGGTTCGGTTCCCGCTAAGGGCACGTACCTCGGTTGCAGTTTGTCCCCGGCCCTGGTCGGTTGTGCGGATGGCAGCCACTCGATGTGTTCCTTTCACATCAATGTTTCTCTCTCTCTCCCTCCCACTCTACCTGAACAAAAAATGGAAAAATGTCCTCAGGTGAGGATTAAAAAAAAAAAAAAAGAAAGAAAGAAAACACCCTGGCCAGTTTGGCTCAGCGGTTAGAGCATTGGCCTATGGTCCAGAGAGACCCGGGTTCAGTTCCCGCTAAGGGCACGTGCCTCTGTTGCAGTTTGTTCCCGGCCCTGGTTGGGTCATGCGTGTGGCAACCACTCGATGTGTCCCTTTCACATTGATGTTTCTCTCTCTCTCTTTTCCTCTCTCTTCCTCTCTCTCCCTCCCACTCTATCTGAACAAAAAATAGAAAAATGTCCTCGGGTGAGAATTAAAAAAAAAAAAAAAGTTTCATTGAAAACATCTTTGTCTATATCTAGGTCTAGGAGACCAGTGGTTTCCATCCATCTTCCTATTTCCTTCCACCCAGACAATTAAAAAAATGTAAAGGGGAATGGTGTGTGATCGCTCTTATCCCATGGTATTTGTTTTATCCTTACGATAATTTTTGAAAGTATGTATCAGGAGAGGTCAGGACCAAGGGCAGCGGTTTAAGATATAAACCAAAAGCAATTACTTTTTCTCTAATTGAGGGAGAAATAACACAGGGAAGACATACTCACCAGTTCCGAGGAAAATAAAAGCTTCCTACCTTGCAGCCGCTGGCTCGCCTTCCTGAGCTGGGAGAAAAGGACGACAGAGCACTGCAGGTTTTCCCAGCCTGGGCACTGTGCTCGGCCGGATGGGTTGGTGGGGAGAGAGTGTTAGTTCAGGTCCTTATGGAGTCAGGTCTCTTCTCGTCCAGTCAAGCCAATAACAGTCCTTCCGTCTGAGGTTCCAGCAGGTATCACACAAACAGCAGGTACTGGAATGCCTGTCCTCCCCCGTAAAGCTACCCTGGAGAGAAGGCCATAGAGCCATCAAATATGTCCATGCAATTGCAGCTAGACCATACACGCCAAATAAACCAGGAATCCTTTCGAACTATATCCCTAAAGTCCAATGACAATTTACTTTCCGATTGTACTCCACCATAACAAACTGGTTCTGTCCTGCTTAGAGGGAGTTTCTACAGACTTTAGTTATTGTCATCGATAATCTAGTGACTGAAGTAAGTTACAAATGGGCCCTTGCCTGTGAGAAACCAGAAAGATCAAGATCCCCACAAAAGTGTTTTGTCTTGGGGACCTCTACCAATGTGGAGTAATTTAACCTACTCTAGAATATGAGATTGCCTTAATTTTGCAGTGACATGCTCCAAATCATTCCAATTTCACCGTCTCTGTCTCTCTCTATCTTCCTGTTACACAGGCCAATTCCTCAAACTGCCCCCACCCCACTCCCAGCCCAGCAACTCCAGAATTGTTCATTCCATAACTCAGCTCTCTATAGCTCCAGCCTGGAATTTAGCTACACATTTATTTTTATCTTTTTAAAAACCCTTTTACTGATTAATGCATTCCATTAAACAAGGTGCCCTCTACTGGACTTCACACAGCTCCCCCGTCACCCCTTCTCCCCTCTCCAACAGCTGCAGCAGCCACGGTCTTTGTGTGTGTGCATTGCCTCTGAGTCACACAGATGAGTGAGTAGCGTTCTTATTGCCTAACTTAAATATTTTTAACTCTCAGACTTGCTGTTCGAGTCTTTGTCCTTTGGGGGAAGCTGTCCAAGGTGCGTGAAGCTCGCACTGCATGGCTGACTCCAATCTGATCACTTCATTTTTCAGACAGTACTGAGTGTACACCACGTTTCCTTAGACATGATCTCATCTTATCCTCACAATAACCCCATGACTTTGATAGGACGGGTGGTGTATCAGTCAGGATCATGTCAGGGGACAGAAAACAAGAGAGAATTTAATGTGGATTTAACGAGGTGTAAAGTTGTAACTACTGAAAAAGGGTAAAAAGAGAACTCTGTTTCCCAAAGGTAACTACTTCATAGAGCCCTTAAGGCTGAAGGAACAAAGGGATAGGCTGCAATTAGTACAATTCAGGAGCTTAAAGAGGGTTCTGGGGGAGCTGAAATACAGATGGCAATTTTTCTGGAGTAATTTTGCAAAACAATCAGATGAATAAAGCAAAAATAAAGCTGAGAGAAGGTTACCAAACCAAATATCTTAAGACCAAGCTGGTGAGTGGTAGGGGTGGGACTTAACATTCAGATATCTTGATTGTAAATGTCATACTCTTTTCATTATGGCATGTTTTCTGAGGCCTGGAGGGTTGAAATAACTCTCCTCGAATCACAAGCTATTTCAAAGGCAAAAACTGAAAACAATCTCTATCTCAAAATATTTAATTTGTCACTTTTTCTGTATATCACCCTGACTCAAAAGTGTCTCGAGTGTATGAGGAGAGCTCAAGTGTAGAAGAAAAGAGAAGTCCAGGCTAGGAAGAAGGGAGGATTGCAAAGGTAAAGCTTGTAGCAGGAGACAGATAAGCTGACAAGGGAAATAGCTAAACTGAGACCATCAAATGTCCCATTCATTTATGAGTTAATTCATTCAACAAACAAGCATAGCATGTCCACCTCATTCTGGGTGCTATTTCAGGTGATGGTGGCTCATATTTGAATAAAAATTCCTGCTTTCATGCAGCTAATCTAGTGAGGGAGTGAGATAATAAATAATATGAATAGTATATATGTTTTCTCAGAGAGTAGAAAAGTAAAAAGGTAAGAAATATCAACAAAGTGGTTGCATTTTTCTATAGGATTGCCACAAACCTCCTGGTGGGGGAGGTAAGTTTGTAGTAAAGGCCCTAAAGAAGCAAGCAGATGAGTCATGTAGGTATTTGGGAGAACGTGTTCCAGGCTGAAGGAGCAAGCTCACAGAGGTCATGGGCAGAAGAGGAATAGTGAAGAAGTTAGTGTGGCAGGAGCAACATGAAGGAGTGGTAGGAAATGATGTTAGAGAAATAACAGAGGACCTGTTCACGTGGGGCCTGTTGAAGGTCTCCACTGCAATAGCTCAGGCTATTGTTCATTAGTATCTGCTCCTTCTTCTGAAGGACAGTTTTATTCTTCCACCTTGGCATCATGTGTGGCAATGGGACTTGCTCTGGTCAGTGAAATGTGAGCATACATGACGTATGTTTCTTCAGAAAGAAGCTTTAAGAATTAGCATATGGTTGACCACATTCTTCTTTCCTTTTCCAGGGTGACCAGCTCTATCAGTCTGGTTCACAGAGGAGGGCTATGTGGAACTGAGCTGCAGGGAATCTGAAATGGACATGTAAGGTAAGACATCAGTCTATTGTTATAAGCCACCAATATTTTCAGTTTATTACTGCAACACAATTGGGACTATTTTGGATGACAAGTACTCCTCTTCTGCCTATGTATGATTAGCGTATAGGCCCGTTGGCTATTTTTCCTCTAAGTATAACACTGTAGGGGTAAAAGAAATATGCTACCTTGGACTTGATGGTGCTCCAGGGGTGCATCTTTTAAGAGAATGCTTCTCAGATGGACAGTGATGCTTCCATCTAAAAGGGAAAGGTTTAAGTCACATCTTTGGTTACACTCTTTCACACAAGCTTACCAGTTAAAGAAAAATGCCAGAATTGGATGCTGCTACTTATCACTTTTTTAAAATTATTTTTTCAATTACAGTTGACACTCTTGTTTTCTGTTACTTTCAGGTGTATAACAAAGTGGTTAGACATTTATATAATTTAAGAAGTGGTCCCCTTGATAAGTCTAGTACCCATCTGGCACCATGCATAGTCATTAGAATATTATTGGCTAGCCCTGGCTGGTTTGGCTCAGTGGTTGGAGCGTCGGCCTGCGGTCCAGAGAGACCCGGGTTCGGTTCCCGCTAAGGGCACGTACCTCGGTTGCAGTTTGTCCCCGGCCCTGGTTGGTCGTGCGGGTGGCAGCCACTAGATGTGTCCCTTTCACGTCGATGTTTCTCTCTCTCTCTCTTCCTCTCTCTCTCTCCCGCTCTATCTGAACAAAAAATGGAAAAATGTCCTTGGGTGAGGATAAAAAAAAAAAAAGAATATTATTGGCTATATTTCCTATGCTTTACATCCTCACGACTATTTTGTAACTACCAATTGTACTTCTCACTCCCTTCATCTTTTTCACCATCCCCCCACAGCCCCTCTCATCTGACAACCATGAGTTTGTTGTATGCATCTATGAATCTATTTTCATTTTGTTTGTTTGTTGATATTGTTCTTTAGATTGCACATGTAAGTGAAACCATATGGTATTTGTTTTTATCTGTCTGACTTACTTCACTTAGCATAATACCCTCTAGGTCCATCCATGATGTTACAAATGGTAAGATTTCACTCCTTTTTATGGCTTAGTAATATTACCTTGTACCACATCTTTTTTATCTACTCATCTATTGATGGGCACTGAGGTTGTTTCCATATGCTGCCAACTTACTCTTAATAGGAATTAATATGATATGATATAGTACCTTGTCCTAATAATTGGGAGAATCAGAATATAAGAGGGGAGGGGAGAGAAAAAAGAACATTATCTCTCTTCTTTGCATTGTGTCCAACCCTACCCACTTTTGACCTCACAGGCAACCCAACCATCAGTCTTTGCAATCTGTCCATTCATCCTCCCAACTTCACTTTTACATCTTTACATACATGCTGGCCACTCTGTTTTTCTGCCATTGCATTCTGGAAACAAACACATTAATTCTCCTCATGAATAAATGGATGAGAAGAAAAAGGAAGTTAGGATATGAAAACTTTTCAAGGATGATTTTATGAGATACCAAATAAAAAGTAGCAAGACAATCAAATAAGAGAAATACCCTGAAAAAAGAACCATTGATTTTATGTGCCTCTATAACAGTGGTTCTCAATCTTCCTAATGCCACGACCCTTTAATACAGTTCCTCATGTTGTGGTGAGCCTCAACCATAAAATTACTTTTGTTGCATCTTCATAACTATAATTTTGCTACTGTTATGAATCGTAATGTAAATATCTGATATGCAGGATATATTTTTATTGTTACAAATTGAACAGAATTAAAGCATAGTGATTAATCACAAAAACAATACGCAATTATATATTGTGAAATAGTTATTTGTAATTACAAATAAATGAAATTTTGTTTTGAAGTGTGGTGTAGTATGGGTAACAGTCTTAATATAACAACAGAAACGACATTGCTGCAGTTTGTGACAATATGCGTAAAAGGGAAACGTCAGTGCGAAGGTTGAGATTGCTTCTTTCTCAGCAGATCAGAAATTCTCGGGGCAGTCTTTGCAAGAGCACAGCGAAGATCATCTTCCACAACAAGTCTACTTCTGTATTTAGAGTTGGTAACCAACAAGCTGGAAAACCCTGTTTCACAGAGATATGTTGTTGGAAATGGAAGAAGGCGCAACACAGTCTCAGATAGAACAGGATATGATTACAAACACTCGATCCAGAATTTTGTAACTGGCATCATAGAGAAATCAGTTCTTGCTGCATCACTGTTGATAAGTTCACTGAACTCCTCTTGTGTTGTCTCAGGAACATCTTCAACTTTGTAAATGGGCTTCTGGCAAATGCAAATGGGGTGTCAGGTAGATTTTGAAAGTACGATGAAATTTCGTCTGCAAGCATGTGCAGTGTTCTTTCACAGAAATTATCATCATGATCCTTTTGTTTGGTTCAATGTCATGTCCCTCAAAGAAAGCAGATAAGGTAGACGACATGTAAATTTTATTTTCATTCAATTTTTTTTTTTTTTTTTGCCAAAGCTGAAGTTTTATTTGGAATGATCGGATCTTTTCAGACAAATTGAGGCATGTTGCATTTGATCCTTGCAGTGATAAATTTAACTCATTCAAGATGGCAAAGATGTCAACCATTTAAGCTAGTTTCTGCAGTTCACTTTTCTCGCTGAAAAGTGCTTTGAATTGCAATCTTGCTTTCTGATTAAAAAAAGTTTTGAGTTCATCACGAAACTCAAAAGCACACTTTAAAACTTTTCCTGTCAACAACCATATCACTTCAGTGTGAAATAGCAGGGCATTGTTCGGCGCATCCAACTCATTGCACAGTTGCAAAAACAGTCAACTGTTTAAAGTGCTTGCCTTTACAAAATTGACAGAACTTATGATGCTTTTCATTACTTCTTGTAACACTTGTGGTAGTGTCTTCGTTGCTAATATCTGAGGATGAATCATACAGTGAGTTCTGACAACTTCTGGTGACTCATTCAGTACCAAACGTTGAAATCCAGATCGACATTCTAGCATAGCTGGAGCACAATCTGTGCAAACACCACAAACCTTTTCCCAAGAGATCTTATGCTCTTTCAGAAATGAACTAACTATGTTGAATACATCACATGCAGTAGTTGTTGTTTCAAGAGGTTTGCAGAAAAGAAACTCATCTTTAAAGTTGCCATCATTAATATACCTCACATAAACCAGTAACTGTGAACAGTTTGCAATGTCTGTAGATTCATCAAACTGGATGCTAAATATTGGAAGAGGAGCAGATTTAATTTCCTGGATTACCTGATCAAGAATATCGGCAGACATGTCATCTCTTCTTCTGCAGACAGTGTGGTTAGATAAGGAAATTGCACTCAATTTGGTAACAAATTCGTCTCCGATCATAACTCAAACAATGTCTTTGGCCACTGGAAACATTACAAATTCTTAGCAATGGTGTGAGGTTTCAGAGCTTTGGTGATTCTAAGTGCCACCAAATATGAAGCTTCAACAGCTGCTACATTTTGTTTGTAGTACTCGCCACCAGTGTCAAGTCTGGCTTTCTTGAGTCCATCAGCTTTGCTTCTAAAATAGTTGGTTTCCTTGCTGGCAAAGCTTGGATGCTTGCTATCAAAATGGCATTTTAGTTTGTTCAGCTTTATAGATTTGGCTGATAGAATTTCACAACAAATAACACATTGCGGTTTCTCAATTCCTGCTGTAATTATTGAGGTAAAACTATACTGTAAAAAATCTTCAGTATATTTTCTTTTCTTAACATTCTTCTCTACGTGATCCATTGTCATGGGATGGTTTACTAATGAAAATAATATATAACAGTAGCTTTAATAATACAAAAGATGATATATGGCATAGTTTATTTAATACAGTTTATTAAAGTTTCCTATGGTTTACCATTCCGTGTTGTTTTTTTTACATAGCTGTTAATATCACAAGGGGGCAGTATTCACATCAACCACAGCTGAATATAAAAAGACTGATCAGCATCCAGATTAAGTTCCCATGGTACAGATATATATATATTTTTTGCAGTAGTTGATGATTTTATAGTACAGAATTTTACATTTACTCAGAAATTATAACTCATGAAGTGCCGTTTTACCTTCAATACTACTGCTTTCAACACAGGAGCTACTTTTAACAGAGTAGCTTTCTACACAGTAGCTGCTCTCTACATGTGGGTATGGTCCACATAAGTACATTATATTGCCAATCCTGTCACATACACCTGTAATTGTATGGGGTGTATGTGCTGGGGTTGGCGCAATGATGTCATCACGCCGGGTACTCGTATGTGGCGTATCTGCATGTGGGCATATCTGCATGTGGGCGGAACTGCCTGTAAATGGATAGAGGAGTTCCTAAGACCATCAGAAATATGTGTTTTCAATGGTCCTAGGCAACCCCTGTGAAAAGGTTCTTCGACCCCCAAAGGGGTCTTGACCCACTGGTTGAGAACCGCTGAAGTAGATGGATCTAGTGGGATGATTATTCAAGAATAAGAAAACATAAGCAAAGGAATATGAATAAAGATATATAGAAAGTGCTCTAGGAACAAAAATATTAATAAAATTGAAGTGAAAGGTATATAAAATTGTATGTAACGCCAAAGAACTGGGATAAAATAGTGGAAGGCCTTAAATTCCAAACTGAACATTTAATATACTAATGGACAAATATAAAAATTATTTGAACAGGTGATTGATTTAGAATTGTAGAGTAACTCATGTCCTGATCAGATGTGGCTGTAAGAAAAATTAAGCAGCAGATAATTAGAGGAAAGGTAAAGCTGGAGGAAGGAATACCAGGAAATAAACTAAAATAATATTTTAATTAGGAGGTAATAGGGTCTGAACACAAGCAAAATTGTTGAAGAAGAATATGTTTCTTAATTTGTGTCTTCTGAAAGCAGAACTTGTGACAAGACAGTAGATAAACAATCAATGGAGAAAGATGTACAGATCTAAGAGATAAAGACCAAGTAATTAACTTAGAGAAATGCATATATTCAAAGAATTGAGAAAGGCCAACTAAGGAGATTGAATTGAGTAGGCTAGGAATATGAAGCAAAATCTAGGAGACTGAAATTCCTGAAAACTGAAGAAAGATAGTTTGATGAAAGAATGAACTGTTTAATACTGCAGAAAAGTAAGCAAGGTATGATAGAGTCCTAATTAAAAAATGATCAAATTCTCCTTCTACCCCTGTGTCCATAGCCTTTGTAAAGAAGTTTGTAAACAGATGTAGTCTGTTTTCCTACTCCTTTTTGTTACTTGCTTTTCCCAATGGAATGCCACAGTAATGGCAGTGTACCAGCTGTGTGTAGGACTCAAGAGACTTTGCATACTTACACTGTTTTTTGGAATCCTGCTTTCATCATTTGAACAAGCTTAAGATAGCATGCTGGATGAAACAAGTGTAAACTGATTACTCCTGTTACTTCAGCCAACAATCAGTCAGCTATCCTCAACCAGCCAGTTCCCAAACAAGCCACCTGTTCACATAGATAAGAGCAAGTGCTATACAGGTTAACTCAGCCAGACCCAGATCAGCAGTAGCACTGACAGGTACACTTAATAGTTATTTCAAGTCAGTAGTTTTGGGGATAGTTTATTACATATAAATAGGTAACTGATACAGAGAGAAATCTTTGCAGGAGCAACTTTAGGGAAGTGATGGTAAGAGGCAAGCTGTTAGATTCTAAATTGTTGAGGAGTTATCAGGAATTGGACAATGAATATTACAAAATAAACCTCTTCTTGAAGAGAACAGAATTTGAAAAGTTGCTAAAGGTATTATTTTTATTGTGTGTACAGATGAGTTTTAACTGTTTTAGGAGATGAGAATAAGCTAATAGAAATGAGATGAACAGGCCAATGAAAGAAGATGCAATTGAGGTATCATTTTATCCAGAACAGGTGAACTCATATGTGCAGACAATTAGAACATGTTGGTAAAGAAATAGAACAAATATCTTAAAGAAGATATAAGGAGAAAGGCAGTTGATAATATATAAAGAATGAAGTTGAAGAGAAATAAAGTGAGGTCATGCCTTTTCAGTGAAGCAATAAAATCATCTGTTAAGTTAGCTGATTTTCTGTTCTTAAAGTAGAGACAAGTTTTAAATATTGATGAAAGATATTTAAAATGTAGTAATTTTGGAAATGAATCAAAGGATAGCTGAGAGGTTCAGAAAGTGCAGGTGAGTCTGAATATCAAACAACAAAACTGTGTCGCATGCACTGTAAATGTATGCATTATATTGGACATGAGGAGCAAAAGCATACAATAAAGAACTCTGAAAGATAACTTAAAGATGCACAAGATAACTTTTTTATTTTTTAATTTTTAGAGAGGAAGAAAGAGGGAGAGGAAGAGAGAAAAACATTTATCATCAGGAATCATACTGGCAACCTTTCAGTGCACAGGAGGACATCCAACCAACTGAGCCACTCTAGCCAGGGCACAAGATAACTTTTTATTTCTAAAGTTAGATTTCACTAAGTAGTCTTGTTAATGTAGACAATCAGAACAATGGGGAGTCTACCCCATTGGACAAGATGGCAGCAGGGGGAGGTTCTTACATTGGGCATGCTGAAAGCTAGAAAGAGGAATGGATAGGGCCCCCAGTGCACCAAAAGCTAGCAAGATAATTGGATAGAAAAAAAGCCTTCTCCTCCCTATCCGTGTAAGAATTTTGGTGGGCTTGAACAGGAAGAGGGATTTGGTCCTTGGGATGGGAGTCCAACATTCCCCAGGTCCTGTGGCTGCTGAATAAACCTCTTTCCTTTTGCACCAGCACCTGCCTCATGAGTTTGGCTTTCATTGTTTTGTGACAGGCAGTCAGACTTCTGTTTTTTTTTTTTGTTGTTGTTGTTCTATTTTCTTTGTTGATTTTTAGACAGAGAGGAAGGGAGATGGAGAGAGAGATAGAAACATTGATGAGAGAACATCGATTGGCCACTTCCTATATGCCCCTCACTGGGGTTTGGACCCACCACCTGGGCATGTGCCCTAACTGGGAATCAAACCAGTGACCTCTTGATGCATGGGTTGATGCTCAACCACTGAGCCACACTGGCTGGGCCAAACCGCTGTTTGATTTATTTTTGATTGGTTATAGTCTCACTGGTAAGTCAATTCTGATTATTGCTTTTTTTTTTTAATTTTTTTTTTTTTTTTATCCTCACCCGAGGACATTTTTCCATTTTTTGTTCAGGTAGAGTGGGAGGGAGAGAGAGGAACAGAGAGAGAGAGAGAAACATCGATGTGAAAGGAACACATCAAGTGGCTGCCACCCACACAACCGACCAGGGCCGGGGACAAACTGCAACCGAGGTACGCGCCCTTAGCGGGAACCAAACCCGGGTCTCTCAGGACCGCAGGCTGACGCTCTAACCACTGAGCAAAATCAGCCAGGGCAATTCTGATTATTTTTATTTGTTGTATATCTTGAATTAATACTGTTAGAATAAATAAAGTTTACATAGATCATGCATATAAAGAGTTGGAAATTTCATAATTTTGGAGACTTAGCAGTATGCATGTAGGGTAGAAGAGTGGGACCAAATCGAGTTTTGCTACCAGGATTTATGTTGGGGTAAGAATGCAAATTATTAATAAAAAAATGTACAGAAAGCAATGCTCTCTCTTTGCTTATCAGGCTTAACATTGGATTGGGAAGTTGATGAGAAAGTGTTCCTGGGCCTTTTGTGTGGTGATAGCAAACAATATCTTCAGTCCAGGATGCTGATTGAGAGGGATGTTGATAAAGGAAAAGAATGAAATGAAGGTACATTTATACAAGAGGGGAAGATTTGATTTTTATGGCAGTCTCTCAGGATTTTCTTTCTTTAACCTGCAGTCTGAAAAATCAATTGGACTCAGTATCTTTACTTAGGGCTAGTAACATTAACTCATAGAATTATTGAAAAATCAAATGAGATGAGTGTATATGAAAGTGCATTCAAAATCTAAAACCCCATACAAATGAAAATTATTTGCTACAACTAATGGCAAAAATATTTAAAATAACTTGTATTAAAATTGACTTTTAAATGATACAAGAAAAGGCCTTATCATATTGCTTTAGAATAACTGGTTCTGTCTTAAAATGAACAAAAAAATTTGTCAATACCCTGAATGTAACCTGTTACAACATTTGTCAATATATGTTTTCATTTTAGGTATTCAACATTCACCAAAGAAACATGCATTCAATTACTTCTAACTTCACCAGCCCTACATATCTTATTGCTTCTATTCTACAATGTTTATATGAACTATTTTTTTATTTTTTTCTAAGTCCTCACCTGAGGATATTTTTTAATTTATCTTCAGAGAGAGAGAGAGAGAGAGAGAGAGAGAGAGAGAGAGAAACATGAATGTGAGAGGGACAAATCAATTGGATGCTTCCTGCATGATCCTGACCAGGGCTGGGGACCAAACCGCAACCAAGGTATGTTCCCTTGACCAGAATTGAACCCATGACTCTTTGGTCCATGGGCCAACTTTCTAACCACTAAACCAAACTGGCCAGGGCTCTTACCACTTTGAAAGTAAAGTCCTTCATGGTAAGGATTATTTGCTCTGTTGATCTACATGGATATTGATAAAGCATAAGATCGTTTGGTGCATGATTTTGAGCATTAATATTTTCCCCCTGCTATCTTAAGCAGGGAAGAAAACAGCATAATTTACCCTGATAGTTTGTATTATGGCATTAAGGAAATAAGGTATCAGTGGACATATATGACAAGAGGTAGGGAATTTAAAATTATTTATTACCCCCATTTAATTCTCCTGATCTGTATAACTTCTCACCAACTCGTTTAGTTTTAGAGATGATTTAAAAGCGAATATTCCATACCATGTGTAAAAGATAGTTTCTTCAATAAATGGTGCTGGTAAAGATGGATAGCCACAGGAAAAGAATGAAATTGGATGCTTACACCATATACAAAAAATGAACTCAAAATGGTTTAAAGACTTAAGTGTAGTACCCGAAACCGTAAATCTCCTAGAAGAAAATATAAGAAAAAAAATTTCTTGACATTGCCTTTGGAAATGATTTCTTGGCTATGACACCAAAACATAGGTAACAAAAGCAAGATAGATAAGTAAGATTACATCAAACTAAAAAGCTTTGGCATAGCAAAGTAAACCATCAACAAAATGAAAAGGCCAACTATAGAATGGAAGACAATATTTGTAAAGCATACAGTATATCTGATAAAGGGCTACTATCTAAAAAATATAAGAATTTCCTACAACTCAATAATAAAACTAAATAAAATAACCTGATTAAAATTGGATAGAGGACTTGAATAGACATTTCTCCAAAGGAGACATACTAATGGCCAACGGATATATTAAAATGTGCTCAACATTACTAATCATCAGGAAAATGGAAACCAATACCACAATGAGATATCACCTCACCTCAGCCATCATGTTAGGATGGCTGGTATTTAAAAAATAAACAAACAAGATTTGATGAGGATGTGCAAAACAGAGAGCCCTGTGCATTAATGGTAGGGATGTAAATTTGTTGTAGTCACTGTGGCAAAGAGCATGGGCGGTTATTGAAGTATTAAAGGTAGAACTACCATATCATTCAGCAATCCCACTTTGGGTAGATGTCTATCCAAAGGTATTGAAATCATGATGTCAAAGAGATACCTGAATTTCTCTGTTTTTTTTTCAATGTAATTCCCAATAGCAAAAATATAGACGCAATTTAAATGCCCACTGACAGCTGAATGGATAAAGAAAATGAGATTAGATAGATATAGGTGTAGATAACAGAATATTATTCAGCCTTAAAAAAGAAGGAAATCCTGCGATTTGTGACAACATGGATGAACCTGGAGAACATTATACTAAGTGAAATAAGCCAGACACAGAAAGGCAACTACTACATGATACCATTTACATGAGGGATCTAAAGAGTCAAACTCACAGCAGCAGTGAGTAGAATGCTGGTGGCCAGGGGCTGGTTGTGGCAAGGGAGGGAGGATCACAGAGAACCAAGTTTCGGTTACATAAAATGAGTAAGTCCTAGAGATCTGTACAGCACACTGCCTATAGTTAGCAACACTGTACTGTATACTTAAAAATTTTGCTAAAAGGGTAGATCTTAGTTTAAATATCCTTATTTTAAAAAACAAACAAACAAACAAAAAAAAACAGAGGTCAGCAGGAAACTTTTGAAGGTGAGTGATGTGATTATGGCATAGCTCATGGCAATGGTTCCATAGGCATATACATATCTCCAAACTCATCAAGTTGTTTACATTAAACGTGTGTTCAGTTCTCTGTCCATCACACCTCACTGAAGTAGTTAGACATTTTCACTGAAGTAACTGTGAATATATATTATTGAAGGTAACATTATGTAAAGGTACGTCAGGTTTTTCATTTGATTACAAGTTTCTCTAAGGCAAGAACCGTATCTTATTCTTCTACCACCGATAGAATGTTATAGGTAATAAATATTTTTGACTTTTGGAAAAAAAAAAAAAAAAAGTGAAGATTCCCAAAGTGAATGGACACATATTGCTGTACTTTCTCTTTTCCAAAAATGTACTTTGAAAGGAAAGGGACGAGTTTTCCTAGAGATGTATCTAATTGTTTGACAATAATTTGTAGTCCTTCCAAAATAGGACTAATTATCATCATGTAGGCAGGGAAGCTTAGGTTGCAATTTGTAATTTTTAGCAGCCTTTTACTTGCAGTATTTTAGAGTTGCTGCAGCAGGAGGTAAATTTCTGTACAGAATCATGTGAATTTGAATGGAAATACTTAAAATGCTGTATTATGGAATCACTGAAAGTCAGGTTCAGTGAAATAAATATATCTGCCCTCTGTTTATAGTATTTAAACCTCTCCTGTGTTCCACATAATGGTGATGTGGATTTTGGTTTCTCTAATACCCTCTTTTTTATAACAGCTTTTATTGAAATATGTGTACCTGCCATACAATCCACATATTTCAAGCATATGATTCATTGATATTTTTTAGTATATTTACAGTCATGCAACCATTACCACCATCAATTTTAAAACATTTTCATCACTGTAAACAGAAACCCTGTACCCTTTATATCCTCTTAAATGTAGACGTGACTTGAATTGGTATTCACTTACAGATATAGTCTAATGCACTGGCCAATATGCTAGCCACTAGACAGATATGACTTGAGAATCTGAATGGTCTGAATTGAGATGCACTCTAAATGTAAACTACATAGAAAAAATTTAAATATCACATTAATAATATTTATATCAATTACATGTTGAAATTATAACATTTTCTTTCTTTCTTTTTTTTATCCTCACCCGAGGACATTTTTTCAGTTTTTGTTCAGATAGAGCGGGAGAGGGAGAGAGAGAGAGAGAGAGAGAGAGAGAGAGAGAGAGAGAGAGAGAGAGAAACATCGACGGAAAGGTACACATTGAGTGGCTGCCTCCCACATGACTCAACCAGGGCTGAGGACAAACTGCAACCGAAGTACATGCCCTTAGCGGGAACCGACCCTGGGTCTCTCTGGACTGCAGGCCGACGCTCATCACTGAGCCAAACCAGCCAGGGCGAAATTATAACATTTTCATATACTATATATTTTCACATAAAAACACTGACAAAGTTAGCTGTATCTGTATCTTATTTTTTTTAAATATGGCTACACGAAAAATTTAAAGCACACATGGGGCTTGCCCTCTGCTTCTACTGAACAGTACAATCTAATAAGTACTGAATACAATGCAATTAGTTTTCTCCCCTTTGGGACACTGTTTTCTATTACTGCAGCCTTAGATTATAATAATTTTTACAAACCAGATTACACAGTTTAGGTTTGTATTCTATTTCTCATCTACTAAAACCATGAGGTCCATTTTAAGAGAGTCCGGCTGGTGTGGCTCAGTAGTTGAGTGTTGACCCATGCATCCAGAGGTCACCAGTTCAGTTCCCTGTCAGGGCACATGCCCAGGTTGTGGACCTGATCCCCAGAGATGAGCCAGTCGATGTTCTCTCTCATCGATGTTTCTATCTCCTCTACCTCTCACTTCCTCTCTAAAATCAATAAAGGAAAAAAAAAATTATTCTTAAAAGAGAGAGTTGCTGGTGGGCAGCTCAACACGGTCCTGTAGATTATTTTATATATCCTAGTTACTTGCAAAAAGATTTTGCCAGAGCTTACCATAAAATATATTTAAACACAGCAGTTTCAAATAAAGTCAAACAGCAACAAAACGAGATAGAGGAAGAATAAGTATTATTCTGAGAATAAAAGTTTACTGTAAACTTTTAAAAAAAACAAGTTTACTGTAAACTTGATGAGTCATCAAAGTCAAACACTCTTACCAGAGAAAAAGAAAAATATAACCACTTCTTCTTGGTCTGATGGTAGAATAACAAAATTTGGAATCATCCGTTATTAGGAACCGAACTTCTTATAAGGTGGCCTCTAAAAGTTAAAAAGAAAATATACATAAATTTAAAAGAGAAATTCCTGTGAGGTGAAGAAAATCACAGACCTTTAAAATCTACTGCTGCTACAATTAGGTATCTTGTTGATAGCCCTGCTTACATGGACTTGGTGGCATATTTTCATCTCAGTTCTGAAATAATGGTGACATGAATAGCAGCAGTATGAGCCTTCTTCACCAAATTCCATAGAGTACGTATTTGAAAAATCAGTGGTGAAATTTTTCAACAATACTATGAGTGATTAAAAAAACACACACACAAGGATTGATT